GAGACCGCGCCCCCTCTTCCAGTCCCCGCCCAGTCCCCGCCCCTGCCCTTCCTGGGCCCGCCCCCTGGGCCGCGCGAGGCTTGAACTTGGGTTTGGGGCTGATAGTCCGGAGGCCACATTGAATTGCAAGGGGCTGAATGGCAGTGGGTGGAGAGTGCAGAGAAGATGCAGAAATTAAGGGCAAAAGTAAGAGAGTGATATACCAATGGAGAGGGATTTCTGGCTGGAGGATTTACAGGGACCCTAGTATTTCAAAGAACCAGGGCAGGTCTGTGGCCTGCGTGCGGTGACTCACCTACCTATATTCAGGTGAAACCTACAAAGATTGCTGATTGGGTGTCCATCACTCTCAACCCAGATAGTGTACTCTGTTGACATACTTACAGGAATATGTGGGTTTTATCTCCCTTCTTGCAAGAAGGGCTGGAAAGGGCTTGGGTGGCTTGGCACTGGCCCGGGAGGCGGCATCCATCTAACCTTTCTGGTAGGGCACAATAGACGGTGAGGGCCTGGCCTGTGAAAGGCAGGTACTGGCAGGCAGGTAGGAGCCAGGCGGGGAGCAGCAGGTTGTGGCAGGTCTAGTTGGGGTGAAAAGAGACAGTAGACAGGAAGAGGAGAACAGGAACGCAAGGGCACCTAAGCCTAGCTGGCAACAGAAAGCAGGGCTGTGGAGATGGGTAACAAGCTCCAGAGGTACCATCTGACACCATCAAGCATAGAGAGCCCCCCAGTGTTGACACAACCATGGAGTGGGGAAAGTGGTGCCAAATTTGCACTCCAAATAATCCTTATTCTTGATGCCTATGCCAGGAGCATTCTGTTCCTAAGGAGGAGGTGGGTAAAGAGACACTCTCAGTGTAAGCACATGGAGATTAAGGTAACAAGATTGGGGAGTGGCACCAGGTTCCAGATGGGTTGAGGCACCTTGGACAATGCCGCACCCATTTACTGTGTACCAACCAGGCAGACACAGGAGTGCTAAAGGCTGGGAGTGGTGGTAGAACTGAATAGGGTGTGCGCTACACACGTCGGTGTGTGTGCAGATCTGGTCCTATGTATGCTAGAGCATGTGTTCACAGAAATGAGCTTGCACACCCATCTGTTTGTGGATTTAGACAGGGAACAGTAAATAGGAGAGAGCACAATTTTGGCTAAGAAGCTAAAATAGAGATCCAAGTATCAGCTTCATGGGCTCCCTTTATTAGTACCCCAATATCCCTGGGGTTGAGGGGAAACTGGCTGGAGTGAGTGGCTTGGAGGTCCCCAGGCATTTTATGAACCAAATAAGAAAAGGGGAGGGCTCCATTCCCAGCACATGCCACAGTTACCAGATTAAGCTGGTTGCCTTGGTAACCTCCTCTCTGGGCAGGATTTGGGATTGTCGGTTAGGAATGGGGAAGAATTGGGGAGTGTGGAGAGTGTGGGGGCTGAAAATAAAAGGGCAGAAAGACTTTTAGAAACTGGAAGCTTTGGGAACAAGACCCCAGGATCCCTCCAACTACTCAAGGATATTAGGTAGAGACTCAGTTCAAGACCTTAAATCAGAGAGGAAAGCCAGCATCGAGTCATGGTCCTCCTTGAACAGCAGTGGTACTTGCCCCAGCTGCACACTGGAATCCAGGGGAACTTTTCAAAAATACTGAGATGGTGCTGAGGTTTGTCGTATTTTTTAAAAGATCCCCAAGTAATGAAAATAGCCAGGATTGAAATCACTGCCACAGAGGGACACCTCAACCCAAGGGGGCTGCAGATACTAGGAGACTGGAATTCTTTTTGCTGTTCTGAGTGGCCCACAAGGTAGCTGACGTGTGTGCTGACCCCGGGGGAGGAGGGCTGGCAGGGTACCTATACTCTGTCATGGAAGACAATGAGCAAAAGAGGGTGGTATAATTAACAGCTGTGAGGAGATGCAGGCAAGAAGCCCATGGAATTCCAGAAGGGGATGGGGCAAGGCTACCTAAGGCCCATTTTGTCTGTCCCTTACACTTCTGCCCAGAGGTAGGCTGGGAGGGCAGAGAACCTGGGGGCTTTGCTGAATTTGAGTTTCTTCTTGCTGAGCCTGTTACCAGGGCAACAGAGCAATGGGATCTGAGGAAGCAAGAGGCAGGGGTAAGGGAGAAGCATCTTAAACTGCTCCTTCCTCCTGTCAGTAACCCACTCCCCCAAGGCTGGCTGGCATTCTTTACATGACCCCAGATCAGGGCCATAAAAGCCCATCACCTTGTGGGGAAGGGAAGCAAACCGGCATGATATGAAGAGGAACTGGGGCTGGGGGTAAGGCAAGTTATGGTCCTCTGGCTGTAGCAACACCACTAAAAGGGTGGAAGGGAGAATCCCAAGCTTTAAGATGTGCCATGATGTCCATGCCCCCAGTGCACAAGGATTTGTGCAACTCAGGAACAGATGCTGCCAGCTCCACATGAAATTCAATTGCTCCCCCACACTGTGGATAGCTTCTGTAGTGAACTTCCACACCACCCAGGATCTGGAAGAAACAGTCAGCTCAAAGATAGGAACTGCCCTGTGCTCATCAGAGGCCAAGTGGCAGAAGTAACCAGCGGCATGAGCCACAGCTGGAGGTCTTTGTTGTCCCTCCTGCCTGTACTAAGATTGACAGGAGCCTCTGTCTTAGACTGCGGTCCTTGATATTTAAGGGCCAGCGTGGGTCTTTACTTACTTTCAAGAAGAAAGCTACCTACACCTCGCCCTCTTCTGGGACCTGGTATAGTTGTACTGACATTTGGCACATTACCCTGGGAAACTTATTTGCCAAACACAAATGAAGGCATAAGGGATGTGACTGATGTTCAGGTGGGTAAGCAGCATCTCACTAGATTTTGTCTGACACTTCGAAACTAAGGGACTGCAGGATATCCTCGAGTCCATGTGACAATGTGGTTAGGAAAGATAGCTGATGGGGAGTACAGACACACTTGTGGCTTCACAGGGGCTCCTTATCTCTGTGGACTTCCATTTCACAACTCTTAGCAGGCTTGAGTTGTGACTGACTCTGGGGAATCAAGGAGTCAATTTCCCTCCCTCCCAAATCAAAACTCATGCAAAAAAGCCAAGTTTACAGTCTAAATTTTATTATCTTCAAGTCACAACACCAATCACAAATGTGTACGCTTTAAAACAGTAACAACAACACACATGGAGAAATTCTTGCAATGAAACACAGCGGACCAACGGAAACAACTGTCACAGTGTCTTAAGGTCTGGGAATCTGGGCATGCTGCCCACAGGCTTGAGAAGACATCGTTAGGTTTAAGGCAAAGGGAATAGCCTACCAAAGGCACAACCACCAACTACCCCTGGAAGAGTCTCTTAGTTATTTCCTCCTTTAGGGTTACATCTTGAGTGCCTCTCCTCCCTCCCCACACACCTGTGACTCAAGAGTGGTCAGGCCAGCTGCTTAAGAGGAGGAAGAGAAATAGTGACATTACCTGGGGAGAGACACAGCTGCCACCTTCTCCCTCAGGTTCTGTAGAAGGACAGAGACAGTGGCCAAGTTACCCCTGGCAGACACAAGTGCTGCAATAATGGGAATCTCTTCCGCAGAGGCAGCAGGAGAGTGGTTTAGCGCCATGGACAGGGAGGAAAGAAGCCCTTGCCGCAAAAGTCACTGGCTTCCTAAGGCCTTAAGCCCAGGTGCAGTATCTTCTTCTGCTTGCAAGGATAGGAGAACTTGAGGAAAATAAGGTAGTAACATCTAAAACACTTGTAGCAGAAAATACATGAAGAGCCATTATAAAGGACAGGGTAGACTGCTAGCTGGATAATATTTGTCTCTAGAGATGCATTGGTCCACAGCAACTGGAAAAGGGGTGTGATAGGAGGGATAGAAATAAGAAAAGCAGGTCCTCTAATTCCACTTACCTCAAAGACTGAGCACTGAGGACTGTGTGAATACATATCCCTAAGGTGCAAAAGGCTCTCACTCCACCCTCCCTTTCTCAAAAAAACAAAAAACACTTTCTCTCCTCACTGTAGAGACTCTGCCCTCAGTAGAGGCATGAAGTCTACCAGGGTAGAGGGACTGATGGAGACTCAGACGCCTAAAAACTGAAGTCAAGAAGAAGGGCTCCTACCACAAACTTCGAGCTTAGAGGAGTTAAGAAAATCCAAGTATATAATAAGAAAGGCCACCCAAAAGTGAAAGGCCAGCTCTTTGAGATTTGGTGGGAAAAGACCAGCTGGTAAATTCTCAATTATCTGGGTTGTAGGGAAGAACCAAAGGAAACCAGAGCAGCTAGCAAACCAGAAAAATGAACTTGTCTCATTTAAACGCAGAGAATAAGAGAGACAGAGAGAAAAATAAAATATTAATTTAAGAACAGCAAGCCAGGCTTTAAAAACAAACATCTTAGAAAACAAAACAAACAGGAAGGAGCTTCCCTGGGAGCAGAAGACACTTGAATTTCTCAGGACAAAGTGAAGAAGAGCCAAAAACCTGGGTTTCTAGATGTAGACTCAGAAGTCTGGGCTGTCTAGATCTCTGCTCCTCTGAGCACAGCTAACTCAAGCAGTGTGTAGAAACAGGAGTAAGTCCACTTGCTTCTCCCTTTCTCTAACAGAGCCCATCCTCAGAGGAAGGCAGGGGTCCTCCTCATTCAGCTGCTTGCTGGTAGGAGCCACCCTTTCTCTTTCAAGCCTTGCTGGTAGCAGACAGCCAGTTGTATTTCTCTTCTTTCCTGGGTTCCCATCTCTGTTGTTCTGACAGGGGTGGGGAAAAGGGAAAAACCACCAAAGAGTTAGTGGACCTTCTGGGTATTTACAAGTTGTTTTCAAAAAGCCACATTCTAAATAATGTGTTTTAAAGTAATGTCACTAACAAAACAAAACCCCCATGGTCTTTCTCTTCCATGACCTTTAGCATTGGCTCTAACTCTAACACCTCAAATTTATTTATTTTTTAATATATGTATTTATTTTCCAATTACAGCTTACATTCAATATCATTTTGTGTTAGTTTCAGGTGTTCAGCATAGTGGTTAGACAATCATAAACTACATAATGTTCCCCCTGGTATTTCCAGTACCCAACTGGGACCATACATGATTGTTACAATATTAGTGACTATATTCCCTATGCTGTACTTTACACCCCCATGACTATTTTGTAACTACCAATTTGTACTTGTTAGTCCCTTCACCTTTTCTACCCAGTTCCCCAAGCCCCCCACCTCTCTGGCAACCATCAGTCTGTTCTCTGTATCTATGAGTCAGTTTCAACTTTGTTTGTTCGTTTATTTTGTTCTCTAGATTCCACATAAAAGTGAAATCATATGGTATCTGTCGTTCTCTAACTTATTTCACTCAGCATAATACCCTCCAGGTCTATCCATGCTGTATCAAATGGTAAGATGATTTTATTATTTTTTTTATGGCTGAGGTAACACCTCAAATTTAGATTTCCTTTTTCCTTAATAAAAAATGCCCTCATGCATTTTTTCCTTGCAGCTTCCCAAATGAAATTCTGCCAAGTTAACAATGGTTTCTACTTCAACCTTGCTCAATGCAATCACAAAACAAAGAAACTGGCAAATTTTGGGACTTCTTTAAGCCTCCTCCCAAGATAACCCATGTTTACAACTTAAAGCATTAATTAGGTGATTGTTGAGCAAGTAAACATGAGCATTAGTTTTAAGAATGTTTTATAAAAGTTATAGTAAATCATGTACTTACTTTTATATCATGTTAGATTTAAAATATTCAGAAATTCACATTAACTGGAACCCCTGCTTACAACCTGAAATGATGAAGTTAAAATGTGTTATCAGGTCATTAAAAAAAAAAAAAAAAGGCAACTGTTTCCATAGAAACACACCCAGAACAGAAGGAAAATCTTCTGAAGACAAGGAAAGCCCACTGATATAGGATGTGCCCTAAAGCATGGGAAGCAGCTGTCATACCTCAGGTGGTGGGGGCTTGATGGTGACTGGCTGAGGAGTCCTCCGGGGTGGGGAGGGCTTTGGCTGTACCTGCTGCTGGGCGGGGTTATAGTAAGTCACTCCTCCATATACCTGTGATGGGGCCTGGACACCCCAAAAAGCCAGAAAAGAAAGTTAGAAATTAATCCAAATTATGATGAAGAGAAAACCTTATTCAGGAACAAAAATAAAAATATTAAGGAATTTATAATGTTTTAAATCTCTAAGCTGCGTCCCCCAGAAATAAAATTATTATTCATTTCTGTCTTATTATGTGCTAATTATGCTCCAGTTCCTACTTCTTCAAAGTACTGCCCCGCTTTCTCTAATTCCTATCACCAGTTGACAAATGATAGAGGCTGAGCTCAGTGGTAACACTCCAGATACCAGGTGGTTTCAACTTAGAGATTTAAA